CTTTATCTTTGTTTTTTCAAAACAATTTCTTTGAATGTTGCCGTTCAATGGAACAGGATTGGGGTCAATGTCATGTCAACTCTACTAATGTTTGTTTCAATGAAATCCAATTTACTGCCTGAAAATTACACTCATCATTAATATTGAGCTTATTTGCCATTGTACTCTATTGACCGCAGTCTGGTTTCAGAATATCCTGTTTGTTATGACGTTTGATGGATGTTGTTGTGTTTTTGCCCTGTGTTCCTTTGACGCCCTTGTTTCCATTCGTGGGTTCCTCGGTTCATCGGTTGGTGGATCAGTGTGAGGCATATGTCCGTATGCATGCCCTGGACGTCCACACAGATCACTGGCTGCTCAGGTTGTTTTGATGTCCTTCCTCACAGCAAGCACCAGGGTGCGTCCATCAGCTCGGAGGAGGCCGATTCAGGCCGCGTGAGTCCGGTTTTGACAGACCCAGTCATCGTTTCTCCACGTCCTCGCTATCACAACTGCCGCAGTGAGTCAGAGGCCATGCAAAGGCCATTTCACTGGCATTTAGTCTAGTTGATAGGAGCAGGAAAATTCACTATGCTATCGAACATAATGGGTTTTTGAAATGGGATTTTTAATATGTAAATTGTCTGATGAATAAACAAACTCATCTACATCTTGGATGGCCTGAGGGTGAGTACATTTTCAGCAAATTTAAATTTTGGGTGAACTGTTGTATGTTTATTGCCACTGACAGTTGACTGACAGTTCGCTTTTCTCCGTGTCCTCTGTATCTAGGGCGAATTGAGTGACCTGGGCCGCGTCCTTATGCAGGGGTCTTTTAATGTCTGGATCAACCATAGGAAAGGGCCAACGCGCATGAAAGACATGGCTCGCTTTAAACCAATGCAAAGGCATCTGTTCCTTCATGAAAGCGCTCTGCTTTTCTGCAAGAAGAGAGAGGAGGGTGGAGAGGCACATGATCGGACAGCCTCTTACAGCTTCAAACACTGCCTGATGGTGAGAGAGAGTGAGAGATCAACGTATTTGCTATTTAAATAGTACTTTTGATTGACCGTTAAAGTAGAAAGATGCTTTTTGCTGGCAGATTTTACAATTACAACATCCACCATACAGCTAACCTGCCAACTTTGACCTGTTTTCTATTTTTGAGCATGTTGTGTTGCACAGATGCGGAAGTTAAGCACCTTTTTATTTATTCCAGCTCTATTTTAAGTGTGCTCAAAGAGATGGACGTTTTTATGAAAGGGGTTTTAGGATTAACTCAGATTCCGTTAAAAAACCCACAAGGTTATTAAAATACTGCATTACTGAATTTCCAAGTGAGATCTTTGACCCCTCTGTTTCATTTGCAGATGAGTGCTGTGGGTATCACAGAAAACATCAAAGGGGATGTAAAGAAGTTTGAAATTTGGTATAACGGAAAAGAGGAGGTGTATATTGTTCAGGTGAGTCATTTTATTAAGGTTAAAACTCCACAGAATGCAGTAGATAAAAAGTTACAAGTGCCTCTGTCATCACTTAATAACGCCTCCTCAATACCTCCTCGTTGATGGAGATATATCAAAAAATGCTTATGTTAATGTCAAGTCCTGAACATAAAATGTCAGTTTGTTTGCACAACTAAAAATGAGTGTTTCAAAAACACTTCAGAGTAACTAATTACCCATTTTTAAGATACATTATGACCACACTGAAAATCCTGGATTTGAAATCTAATTTATAACTGATAGTTTAGATATGATTTTAAAAATTGAATAAAAAAACATTTAAGTGTATGATGGGTTATGATAATAATATAAAGTTTAATTAAAATAAAACACTAAAAAAATCTAATATATATATATATATGGGTTCCTCGGTTCATCGGTTGGTGGATCAGTGTGAGGCATATGTCCGTATGCATGCCCTGGACGTCCACACAGATCACTGGCTGCTCAGGTTGTTTTGATGTCCTTCCTCACAGCAAGCACCAGGGTGCGTCCATCAGCTCGGAGGAGGCCGATTCAGGCCGCGTGAGTCCGGTTTTGACAGACCCAGTCATCGTTTCTCCACGTCCTCGCTATCACAACTGCCGCAGTGAGTCAGAGGCCATGCAAAGGCCATTTCACTGGCATTTAGTCTAGTTGATAGGAGCAGGAAAATTCACTATGCTATCGAACATAATGGGTTTTTGAAATGGGATTTTTAATATGTAAATTGTGGCACATTTATTTGCATGAAATTGACTCACGTAATGGCAATGCATGAAAAATGTACAACCCATTCGGGGAGAATGTCATTATGGTTCGGCTGGTTGTGGGTTGCAGGCTGGCCAGGGACGTCTCACTCAGTGGACATCTGTGAGGGTCTGGAGGACTGGACCACTGACCTTTCAAACATCTCAGACTCTGATGAAGAAGACGATGTGCTGCTGGTGAGCTTGGACCTTTAGATATCACTCAGCAACAATGAAGGATTTTGTTTGTACATAGTCAATATGATGGCTTTGAAAGTGTACTATGCTGGTTTGTTTGTTGTCTTTTAGGTTCCTGGAAGGTATAGAGCAATGGTGGACCATTTAAAGTGTGGCAAGAATGATGTAATCATCAAATGTGGTGATGTCATTCACGTGCTGCAGGAGAGTGCCATGGGGCTTTGGTGAGTCATTTTTTATTTTTTATTCATGCTCAAGTGGAGCAAAAAATATAAGACATGCTCTGATGTTAAAATTCTGGCTGACATTGATAAGCTGGTTGATAACTATTACTATCATAACCGATATTAAAATGTATATATTTAAAAAAATAAATTAAAAACAAAACACTAAACTAAAATCAATAGATATAATTGCAAAAGATTATATTTAACAGTGTAAATAAAGTGTAAACCAGCATATTAGAATGATAGACTGTTTTTACAGTATTTTTCATCAAATGAATGCAGACTCTGTGAGCATTAGAAACTTCTTTCAAAAATATAAATAAAACTGACCAAGCTCCCTAAAAAATATTTTTACAAAACTTTAGCATGTTCTTGCCTACTTGGCCATCTGTAAAACTATAATTATTCCCTAAAATCTGGTTTCAAAATTCTGATACAATTTTGCATTATCGTCTGGTGTAGAACACTGATTAATTACAAGAACATATTAATTTTGAATCACTAGTTACGCAATAAGAATCACTCTAATTTTCAAGTTAATGATCAGTGTCACGCTATAATTTCTACAGGCATGTTAAGAATTTGACTCGTGGAGGTGAAGGAAAACTCTCTGTTGATACACTGCTGAGAATGCTGGGAGATGCAGGCAGAAGTCCCTTCATTAAATCAGGAGGGGGGCTTATGGTGAGTGAACTCTACAGGCCTAACGATTTTATAAGAATACTATATTGTAAAATGCAGCTTACATAAACATGTTGAATATGTGTTTATTTGATCAGATCTGAACATATAGTACTGTACTGCAATAGAGGCTTTTCTTTCTCTAAAGCACTCCGGTGTTGTCTCATAGGTACGGGAAATATAAACAGCAGGAAGCCCAGCAACACCTAAGTACATAAACCACATGTACACAAAGCTCACACCATGTGACAACCCTAAACGCCATTACTGTCATTCAGGACTGAGCCCAGTCACGCCAACCTGAAGCACACAAACAAACACCAAGTCAGGAAAACAGAGCTGCCTAGTTGAGAGAATGTTTCCATCTGCCATCAGTGGGGATTTTGGATTATACTGGATTTAAAGACAAAAAGGGATTCGTCTCACTCCTCGAACGAGTCAATGACCACACCTACAACAATACAATCTGGAAATAAAAGGAGCTTTGCAAAGCACTTTACAGTGATCCATTTCATCCCTGGAAAGTACCATCACCGTGCTGTGCCATAACATGATATAAAACATGTATTTGTGTAGTTAGCACAGTATTTTAGTATATATTAACAACAGGGAGGTTTATGGCATGGGGTGTACATTGGCTTGAGAGAATAGCAAACTATTTTTTTCTCTCCTCGGATAGGTACAGCGGTTGGACACTTGTTTTAAAAAGCCATTTTAGTGCTGGAGTGGATACCAGTGCTACAAAGAATGAAAGATAAACTAAACATTAGTATCTAGTTTATGTGCCAAAACCTAACATTCCATTCCCAAACCAACCAGGTTGACACTAATTCCTCTTTTGTTATTACTCTGACTTTAGAAATATTTCAGAGAAATATGTAAAAGAAATATTATTTCAGAGAGTATGTGAGGTGAAAACTTTACAAATCACTAGTCAGCAATGTGATTGCGATATTGCTTCCCAGTTATGCTTAAAAACATACTGCTCACCTTCAGATGATCCGTGTTTATATTCGTTCACTTTAAGTCAGTTCAAATATGGCTGTTCTGGAATACTTAGCAAATTTTCTTAGTTATCAAAGTGTTTTTGTACGGGTTTACTGTAGAAACAGCATAATTCATTTTGATTTAGAAATCCATTTTTTAATCACTTCCACCATATTTGGGTCAGTTTTTGTAATTGAAATAAAACTTGGTGGTATACATCATAACGTCCGCTGTAAACTTGTTCGTTCTAATAACCTTTTCTCTGTCACACTTCCTGCGCTCACAATGTGCATTTAACTTTTGTTAACTGCTTAGAAACCATTGAGGTGAATTTACATTTGCTAACCTCATTAAAAACTGCAATGAATAAATACAGTACCGTTTAAAAGTTTGGGGTCAGTAACATTTTTACTAAGATTTTTTTTTTCTGAAAAGAAATGCATACTTTTATCCAGAAAGGATGCATTAAATTGATCAGATAAGTAAAAGTAAAGGCATTGATAAGTATTTCTATTTCAAATAAATGCTGTTTACTGAACTTTCAATTCATCAAAGAATGCCGGATAAAATCATTTTTCCACAAAACATCATGTTTATCAGCAGTTGTCAGCAATGATAATATGAAATGTTTCTTAGCATGATTTCTTAAGGATCATGTGACACTGAAAACTGGAGTAATGACTCCTAAAAATTCAGCTTAATAAATTACATTGTAAAAACAGTTATAAAAACGACCCCAAACTTTTGAAAAGTAGTGTGCATTTGCATGTCATTAGTTTAAAAGAGGGCTTGACAAGGGAGAAGAAAAGTGAATGCGGTCTGAATGGGTTTCATGTGTACTTCAGTCTGAAGTACACTTCTTAAAGCCATACACTTCTAGTGTATAATATGTACAGAGTTACAAAGATGAAAGTGACCTCATACTGCTTTGTGGTATATCATGTATGAAAATAATTTCACTAGATGTACAAGCACAAAGTGTAAGATGGAAAACTATATTTTTTCTTGATTGTTACAGTATGTCTGTTGAATGATGACTAGTAAATATCATCTGTACAAACATGTCTGTGAGCTCTAATTCCTTCCGACATTTAAAACAACCCTGCACAAAGGCCTAATCTAATTTCAACTCTGTTGATCAGTATTGGACATATGTCCTGTTCTGATGCCAGTAACGTTACTTATCCAGTACATATATCTGGAGATACGGGTGTAGATGCCATACTTTCCCTCCTTAGCGCACTCCTCGCCCCAGCTGACGATACCCGTGAGGAACCATGTGTTCTGATATTGGGTGGCATGGGGTCCTCCGCTGTCCCCCTGACAGGAATCCTTGCTTACCGCACTGTAACCGGCACAGAACATGAAGCGGGAGATGGTGTCGGTGCTGCTGCCTTTGCACTCCGTCCGGTCCACGTAGGGGAGCTCTACTTTCTGAAGTGTTTTAGATTCCATGCCCCCGTACCGTAGCCTCCCCCAGCCACTCACCAGGGAGTTTTCTGCACTCCTGAGCAAGTTCTCTGTGAAGTCTTTAGAGCCCAGGCAGATGGGCAGGGCGTAGTCAGAGAATTTGACGGGTCCCTTGAGCTTTAACAGGGCGATGTCATGATTGTAAAGACTCCGTTGAGAGTTGTAACTTGGATGGATATGGTACTCCGCTATGCCGTGATCACTCTCTCTTCCCTCATTCATTGACACATCATGTTCCCCTATAGAAATATAGCACCAGAAATATAGCTCATTATAGCTCATTGCCAGTATGTGTGATATCACATCACATGGATCTGGAATACATAACTGTAGATTTTTAAGAGACAGTGAAATTAAAAATAAAATAATAAATTATATATACTATTCACAACTGCAGAAGTTTTTTTCTATAACCAAATAGCAATAACAGCCATGTGTAGTTCTCACCCACTCTGATGAAGAAAGATCCCACCTTTCCTTCAACACAGTGGGCAGCTGTAATGACCCATTCTTCACTGAGGAGAGAGCCGCCACAAAATGCAATCTTACTCAGCTTTTCCATAAAAACCACCTGCCAACATAACACAGAAAGAACAGTCAAAATTTCCCTCAAGAGTTCCGATATTACGGTTTTTATTGTAATGTCCTCTTTACAAGGTTCTGTGGATTTTTCAACACAAACTAGAGAAGATTATACCAGCCTTGCTTCATAAGGTGAGGAGGAATCTTATGAATGTTTTATTTGGACACACAATTCATCACTTCACCTACCTGCCATGGAATCTCCCCCGGTGTTGCCTCGTTTCCTCCTACAATACGATGTTCATTGTTTGTTGCATTTTTGATGGTGGGCCGAGTGGGAAAGAATGAGGTGATGTTCAGTGTAGGTTGAGGTGTGCTAGTCCCGTTCACATCAAGAGGATCTGTAGGACTGGACTCTGTTGTATTGTGTTCTGTTGTATTGATGTGATTGAGAGAGTGACTTTGATTTCCATTCTCAGCACTGATAAGAGACCTTGAGTTAAGTGTTTCAGCAATATTCGCTCCAAGACGTCCACATGGGTACTGCCCTAAAACATAAATGAAATTCCTTGAATGAAAATGGTATTCAAAATATGCTACTGCATAGGAAGAAAAGTCATACTGCACAACATAAGAAAATCTTTGAGCTATGAGATAGAAATACAGTGTACGTCCTGGCTTAATGCAGATAAATGTCATGTAATAAGTGGGAATAGGATTATCGTACCTGTAGGTTCACATATCCTGCCATCTAGAGCCAGTCTGTAACCCTCGGCACAGTCACACACTGCTCCATAAATTTTATCCACAACGCAGAAGTGCATGCAGCCTCCATTATTTACATTACACTGTTTTGCCATTTCTGCACCAGAGCAACCCATGAAAGAAGAAAAAAGGATTTAGCAGAGGAAAACTTTAAGCACACAAGGTTAAGAATTTATTTTTGACAAAGTACTAATGCAGAGATATTTGGACACATAAAATAAATAAATAAATAAATCATAAACGATTAGTATATTATTTATTTGATATAAAATTATGATATTTATATTCATTTCATGATTGTTTTTATGATCTGTCTAAATATATATATACATATATATATATATATATATATATATACACATTTGAATAAATTTATGCATTTATTAGATGCTTTTTAATAAAAATATTCAATTCAGAATAAACATAAAAATACACAATTCAAAATAAATTTAAATAAATATAAAATAAAACTAAAAACAACATATTTTGGCATATTTGTTAACAAATTTGATGAACTAGAAGATATAATATTAAAAACATTTGTTGTATATTTTCATTATACAACATATTTTAATGTTTCACATAACAATCACTGACTTCCTCAGTCTTAACAGCTAATGTGAGGATCGTGGATCTTACCCAACTCACAGTTCTTCCCACTAAAGCGCGCTGGACACCAGCAGGTGTATGTGTTCATACCATCCTCACATTTCCCTCCATTCTGACAGGGAGATGACTGACACTGGTCTCCATCTGAAAGGAGGAGAGGCCATGATCATGATATTATGAATATATCCAGTAATGTTAACGTAAGGTAAAATTAACAGACAAATTAGAAAGGACAGAAAGGTACAAACAGATACAGAAAGATTTATAATGTTCAATATGATACATGTTTCAAAAAGAATATTTATGCTCACCCAAATAAGTGATCCAGAATTTCATCTGAAACAGAGATTGGAAAGTTTTAAACTCGTAAACATAGTCCTAAAATATTTCTATGAGATAAACATGTGCTTATGCAACTCACGGTTTTTTCCTGGTCTTCAAAAACCTCTCTGGCCTCTTCTAGATTGCAGCGTTCTTCAAAACATTCCCTCTCCAAATTATCCTTCATCATCTCCTCAAATCTACCCGTGTTATAGCGTTTCTGTCTCTTCAGAAGAGAGCCCGCCAGATCCCTCGGCAGAAACACTGAAGCTACATGCACAAAAGAGACATGCTGAAAAATTACAAACGCCAAGGTCTGTTTCTAGGACACAGATAATGTAGTTTGACAAGCATTGAAGATTTGGCAAGGGAATATTGTTTTACTTTGAAAGGCTTTTTATGTTGAGTTTGAACAGCTATTGAAGTCAGAGGCAAAGACTTACGTTCTTTCAGTTCCACCATGATAAGAACAATATGATGATCGATTTTTAGTTTCCTTTATGTTTTCTCACAACACAAACCATGAAAAGTCTTCTTGTGTTAACCAGTTTCTTTCTGTACTAACTCTAATTGGTCTATGTTTTCACATTTCAAAAGACTGCATGTAACAAACAAATACTCAGCCTTTGACCATTAGAACAGATTTTACACTGACCAGCTCAAACTGAGAATGTGGACAATTCAGTGTTTCATTCTAAAAATGTGTGTGTTAAAAACAATGATTTCCAGGAACATACATAAACTAGATAGGTTAAGACAGATGAATGTTAACGTACCTTCAGAAGAAAGCCAGGTTTCTAGCAGCAAACTGCATATCAAAATAATGGGATAAATCTTCACCATTTTCGCTTTGATTATTTCCCTTCAGGCAGAAATCTTTCCCAACAGTCTAGATACTTTCATGTTGCGCTCCAAAGTTCAGGACATACGTGTTTGCACTTCATGCAAACAGATATCCCATTGGGTGGGTGTTTTTGTCTGCACCTGCAGTGTTTGTGGGTCGTTGTCCTGCATTTTTATTGCATTTTTCATAGCTGATGCCATTGAAATAGTTTTATTTGATGTAATGTGTGGTTTCATGAGAAAACATCACAATGTTTGAATAGTGCGTTTCGTGTCACTTCAGGCTTCATAACACAGCAGTATGAATATATACAGTACGTGGATTATACAATTCTTGTGGATGATTTATACTGTACATGCATGGATACCCATTCACATGTCTGAGTCATTTCAGTATTTTAATGTATTTCTGCTGAGTCAGAGAACTCGGTTCAGACTTGGGACCCAGCAAATATTGACAAGACTTGGCTGACGAATACTGCCCTCTTAACAGACCTTCATGGCTGCTAAACAAGTTTTTTTTTTTAAATCTAATGTTCATCGTTTTTATGTAACACGATTTGTGACTTCTCTGTGGCAGTCAAACAGGAAGTTTAAACTACTACATAATTAATGCTGCTCTTGGAGGGTGGAATGAAGTGGAAATTACAATGACATTCAGGGGTTCAATTAGTCAATACTGTATTTATATGGCATTTCTATAGCATTCATCTTGCTCAAACGAGTATTTTCATGTTATGGTTACCTCCTCAGGTGAACTCATTTTTCAGCAGAACACAATTGCAGCAGACGAAAATTTGATAGGCCTAGTTATTAATAAGCCTATGGTAGAGTAATCATCACCCTTAAAGCAAAATGTAACAAACAAATATTTGTGCTAAATAAAGCAAATATAGCCAAAGTTCCTTTATTCTATAGTCTTTGATATAGCATAAATGATAGAGAACGAACGAGTCCATCACCTGTTGAAATAATACAGGCATTTTCGTTGAAATCATTGTCTAACAGATTGACTTGCTTATTATGGTTATATTTTAACTTACTGACCTGTAGCTACTCTTTCAATGAAACCTACATTTGCGGTAAGTTCAGCTAATGAATGACTTTGCGTAGATGTTCTACGTCATGTTTGTCATCTCGAGAGTAGCCTTTTCTGACGACTGAAGCGTCACGCGTCACGTGGTGAGGTTTGGGACTGGGCTCCACAACGCGACCTCAATAGTCGCGTAGCGGGGTGATACACCGCCATGTGGTCTGATTGATGTGTCAAAGCACATCATGAGCGCTCGACTTGTAATTTTGCACACCGCAAACTGAACGACGCTGAAACAGCTTGGCAAGTGGCCTTTTACATTTTAATTTAATCTTTTTAAAAATGTTCACGCCTTGCTTTGCTGCCTTGTCTTTTGTCATATGAAACAAAGCGCTATGCACACCTGCCAGAGAAGATAATAACGACCAGCAAACGGTAAGGATTCAGCAACGTTAAAATCCACTCCGTTAAATTCATCCAATTAAACCTCTTATTCAAGTTATTTGGTTTATTTGATCAGTTTGATTGGAAAAGCATGCATAACTGATTTATGCTGAATGCCATGTATTCTTTGATTTAAAATATATGAAAACATAATTTAAAAGACACTATACAATGGGAAACCGTTATAAACAGCGATCTGGTTCCTTTAAGGGGGGGTTGGCCACTGTTTAATAGAAGAGCCAGTTTTAAATGATCGGACCGATTTGGTGTGAGTTATCATCTGGAATTCTTCATCAAAACTGGGATCTATGAGCGGGAAAGCATTACTAAAGACGAAAGAAGACAAGGATGCAAGCAAGGGTAAGACATCACATGTATCATTTTGCTTAAACCTTTTGTCCTTTCCATGTATTGATATACATTTGGTTGTTTATGATTCTGCAAAAAGGACGCACGATCTGGTTATGCAGACGGTTACAATTAATGGCCCGATGTCAAGCATCGCACGGAAAATCATTAAAAATTGATTCCCTCGGCGGTAGTAGCCACCGATCTATTAGGATTCTACAAAGAGTAACTTAACATGAAAATATGTAAATATGGCGTTTAAGCTCATAGATATGCGTGACCAACAAGTGTGATGTTTATTTTGCGATCATATTTGCGGTGGCGCGGTTACTTTAAATCTACTGTAGGCTAACAGCCGAGTGCGCTTCACGAGAAGCTAAAATAGCTTTACACTCTTCTCACATTTAACCCCGAAACAACAAACGCTTTAATTAAAAACACTTTCTTTAGATAAAACGTGTTGATAGCAAGAAAAGGGTTATGTATGTATTTTATTTCCTTTACTTGAGCGTGACATATGGCGCTCTCCAGCGCTTCAGTTCACGGATGTAGGCTGGGTACCTATTGCCATGGAGACAAAGAGGCCTCATTAAAAATACATGGCATGCTGTATGAAGCAGATGTATTCTGTTTTTAGTGTCTACAGTGGTTCTTTCACTGGACATAAATTGCATAACATTTTATATAAGGTCAACAAGCATTAAAGTGCACGCCTGGTTTTTAGTAATATGTTCTTCTAACATGTGTGTTGTGTGGTTAGGTCATAAGTAATATAGCTGTCCACAAACCCTGAGAGGGAGTTTAATGGTTGTGCAGAGGATTAGGTTTGATTAAGTTGTTACAGGAAAAACTCATTAAAGTTTAGTACGTCATGGAAAAGTGAGGAACAATCTACACATCTACACTGAGGCCATATAAAATAAGAGGTCATTAAAAAGACACAGCTTTTAATTTTATTTAATAGACGTGGGGATTCAGCTTAAACAAGAGATTAAGCTTCTTTGGAGTCTTAATTGAAAGTTTAGAACACCTTCATTACGTGTTTAATTCTGGTCACTGTATGTCACCACTGTGTTATAATAACGTTTTATAATAGTGTCCTTCAAAGATACATCATACGCTGTGATGTTGATACTAATAAAACTGATTTGTCATGTTGAAGCCTCAGTGATTTACACTTTGTAACCTCATAAAAGTGTCAGTGACAAAAAAATCATCATATGTAATGCTTCACACCACATGTGTAAACAAGACTGCTTCAGAACAATCTTATAGTATGTGGCTATAAATTAGATATAATACTATAAAAGTAACAAAAATATATAGAAATCATTGCAGATATGTTCAAATGTAATTAAAAATAAATATAAAAAAATAAAAAAGAATAAAAGTCTTGACTAGATTATAAAAACCTGACTGTCTTAGAAAGCCTGATACTTTCATTTGTTCCTGTGTTCAGTAGTCACTAATTCGTTTATCCTATATTCGTCCTTTTTGAAAACATGACAGTATAAGTTATATAGTATAGAAGAATATAGTATAGATAACACTAAATCCATAGCTTTACCACCAGATGTCAGTATCATCTTTCTAAACTTATTTGGGTTTCTCAAACGGAAGGCTGCATCCTCTGGAGGTCGCATTTGTAGGCTGCATACGTCATAAAGATTATATTATTTTAGAATATTAACAGTTATAAATTTGACCATTATTCTTAGTTAAGCGTAAATTGTTGTAATATGCTTATGACTCGCGAATGTAATGCTCAGTTGACTGAAATAAACCAGCCTTGATGATGTATGCAGCCTGCAAATGCGACCTCCGGAAGATGCAGCCTTCCGTCCCGGTCTCTCTTTATGGCTTTCGGCCTCCAGTCCCGCTGTGTGTGTGTGTGTGAGTGTGTGTGTGGTGTGTGTGTGTGTGTGTGTGTGTGTGTGTGTGTGTGAGTGAGTGAGTGTGAGTGTGTGTGTGTGTGCGTGTACGTGCAGGCTCGCATGAATCGGTATCGTGTAAAAATTATGTCTAGGCTATATTATGTCATACCATAATTTTTCCTAATACTTGTTGTTCTGTCATTATGTTTAAGTATACACTGTTCAAGATGGCAAGGAGTACATTCTATTGCGGACGGAGTCAACTCAGTCTCTTGCTGTAGATAAGAAAGAAAACTCAGCCTTTCATAGTAAATGTCAGGAGCTCTTTTGCTGTTCATTCTGGAAACTCTTCGCTCTAAAGAAAAAAGAAAACAATGAAGGTTTGTCGAGATGAGAAGTTTATCAGTTCTGCCTGACGAGCACTTTCAATTTTAATTTCACATATGATAAGCAAAGACTATTGCCATTGTTTTTATCATCAAGAACAAAAACACCGTACTAACACACCGGAAATAACGTGCGCTGTAAATGTTTTATATGGACCCTTCTCACAGACTGTGACGACGCGTTTCCACAGTTAATTACAACACCAATCTAGTAAAGTTGTTCATTTTTACTGTATAACTATACTGTGTTATTTTACCCTGGCATTAAAACTAGTTAACGCTGTTGTGCGAGATTTTCTAACGGCCACAGGGAGTGGCGGGAACTTTGAAATCTTGATCTATTCTGGCTAACATAAAAACTATTGATATTTTTTTCCTCTTTTGTGAAGTCATAGAAACGCTGTCCTTTTTTCTTTTGCTATTGGAGCAAATGGAGATGCAAAATTATATTTGTTGTTGTAGTTTACATTCACCGCTATAAGATACGTCCACTTTTGAGAAACCCGGAAATGTGAAAAGTGTCCATTGCAACACATGCTATTATTTCAATGCACAAGTGCTGTTATGATTTTTAATTAACTGAATAGTAAGGGAATGTTAAGTACGCTGTCAAGTCTAGACCCACACAATTAAATGTTACTCCTGCATGTTTACACTGACTGTATTTTAAACCCAAGTCTGTTTTATTGTGCACTTCAGGAACGCTTGGATGTAATGATGAACCTAATGTTCCCTCTAAACCCATTTCACATCTTTTCGCGACATCTAGTGGTGCTCTTTGAGATTAGCTTCATCAGGGTGCGGTTGTTGTTTTTACCCGAAAGGTGGCTGAAAACAGAAGCATAAAACTAAAGTATTTTCTAACCGTTTAGGAAAATAGATTTACATTTAGCCTAACTAAATCTGCTGTGATCATATAAATATGTTTGAATTATCCAAAATGCTTAGTTAATTGTTATTGTGCTGTAGTTCAACAGTCAGTAATTAAAATAAAGGGAATTTTTATATTTTTATACCATTTTGAGACATCTTTTCTCATCATTACAAGATTCTAGATAGCCTAGACCATGAGGTTTAATAGCCCTAATAAATTAGATTAAGATTTATATTGTTGCCTGGCTAATTCAATTCAGTTCCAAACAAAGACAATGTATTTGTTAATAGCAGCATAGAAAATATAGAATGCAGAAAATAAAAAGTGCTCCAGCTCAGGGTCCCTTATCTGTAAAAACGTCAAGAATTGATAGAAGTCACAATTGCTAGAGATTTAATGAGGATGAGTAGAGACTGCATACGCATAACAGGATTACATAAAACACTTGCGTATATGAGAGTGACTTTGATAGGATCTTAAACTCACATTAGATTAGTTGCATTAGATGGGCAGTAAATATGCTTAGTTGTGTTGCATATTGGCCCAACACATAACAGGAAGGAGGGCCAGACTAATTCGATTCCCACTGTTTGAGAAAAACCCTGTTTCCTCATTACGCCAATATCTCATTAGTCCCTCTCTGAATATGTAGCTGGTTGGTTCTGCTTTTCTGGACTGTTCCTAAACTGTGCATGGTTTTCAGAGCTTGTAAACCAGCCAGATCTCTCATCTCTGACACTTTTATTACCAAGAATAATATTTAGAAGCAGGACTTTTTTATCCAAATGGGTTTTATTTATTGCCCTGTTATTTTTCATAATGCTGCCTTGGCAACACTAAAACTGTAATTTGTTATTGACTATAAACTGGATATATTGAGCGTATACTTTTAAGTAAATCCCCAGGTTTGTGATTAGGATTAATTTATCTCAAATGTTTGAAAGTGTTTGCTCTCTCTACTCTCTTCTCTCTTTAGCTTCTTGCTGTTAATTACCCTGAAGAGAGTGTAAGAGTTGGCAGTATCACAGATGCATCTGATGAATCATTGATAAGGCCCCCTAAACTCACAGTGGTCTGTCAATAATAGCCGATAATGATCTGCTATGATCACCGGGCTGTGCTCTTTTAATGGACAGAATACTCATGAGAATTAGTTGAAAGTTCGCAACGCCCTTTTTCTTGCTTTGCACACTGTGAAGAAGTGCGAAAGAATAAAAGCCTTCTTTGGATGCCTCTGAGAGTAGCATGACGTTTCCCTTGAGAAGATCTGTATCAGGTACACTTTTAGATATCTGTAGATATCCAATCCTAAGGGCTTTCTTAATAGGAGTTAGGCAAATGAATGAGGTATATACATTTCTAAGCGGATAATGGCATGTTCGAGTGGTTGAATGGCTTTGTTTGTAACTAACAGAGAGGCGTGGGTTTTAGTGCTGTCCGTGGTGCTGAAATTCACCAGTGCAACTGAAATTCATCTCAAGTGGGTCGCAAGAGTTTTCTAGTTGTTTTTATTTTTTTTTTCCGGATTTATATATTTTCTTTGCTGGCACCATCCATCCTTATATACTGTAAAAATGTTTTGTCAGGTAATCCAAATAATGTGCTTATGGTAATATCTAAATTAACTGGATTTGGATTGAGCATTGAGTGAAAAATATTATTTAATATGACTGATTTAACATGCCTATAGGTTGATGGTTTATTCAAAAGAATGTAAAAATCTGTTAAATAATTAACGGCAGGTTACTTTACCATATACAGTAAGAGTATTTTAAATACTTTATATATTTTTAAAAGTGTAAAATTACTGTAGATATATATTTTAGATATTTTTATTTGTAAAAATATGAATTACCTTAGAATTTGCAGAGAAAAAATTATATTTAACAAAACAATAATATACTTGTATATTTTTTTGTAAACATATTGTTGAAATATTTTCTAAGTAAAAAGTATAATCCCCATTAATTGATTCCCAGAATCCCCTGTATGAACCATATTTAAGAATTTGTGTTAATATACTAAGTATTAATTATAAAGTTAGTGTCTTATTTTCGTTTTCAGTTTTTTTCAGTGTTTTATGCTATCCCTTGCACAGTATGTTGTTTAGTTAATGTTTACTGCATTATTTTAGTGACCTGTATGCTAGTCTGATGATGTTTATGTTATTGTTTAGTTGCTGAATTTTAAGTAGTGTGGCCTCCTTTTGTCTGTTACCAGTATTGCAGTAACAAACAGATTTAAATACCACAAATTAGTTTGTAAATTACTACAAACTATACAGTTATATAGATATACAGTTATAGGAACTGTAACATGTGATTTTACAGTAAAGTTCTGGCAATCACCGTTTTTTTCCAACGAATTTAATAAAACATTTTACAGTGTAATTCTACAAATCAATACAAAACATGTATGACAATGAAAGGACTACTAATGAGGTAGATTATGTGTGCAAAAAAGGCCACTCCTCATTTCAGGAGGCTCTAATGTTGCCTGTTTCTACACGGCGGCTTGTTGAAGACCACAGTCACGTCTCTCGGGCTGTCTGTCACCATGCAGCAGCTGAAGCCGTGCTGCTGCAGGAGCCACTGCGAGGAGAACGAGCTGCTGCTGCAATCCAGCACAGTGTCGAAAAGAGAGCAATCTGGAATCTCCGCACAAGTGGATGTAGATATTTTTCCTTCTTGGATCATATTGCTGACCCCTGAGTTTAGATGCTGTTTCCTACGCCTCTGAATTTCCATATTTTGGGCGGTCTTGGGGAACGGGGACAGGGAAACTGTTGAGTACCTATGCAGATCTCCACTGCTGAAAACATGAGCACATCTGCATGGGAAGCCGATTAATCTACTCAACTTCAATTAAAGGCTGCGTTATTGAAAGGCGGGGACCTCTTGCTCACAATTTCCCGGCACAATTCCCCCTCTCTTCTTTCTCTCTCTCTGTTTCTCACATGTAGACAATATTTAATTATTTCCTCAGCCGCGGTGTGTTAACAGGTGCTCATTTTTCTGAATCAGCGCATGGCTTAGTAAAGCTTTGGGTCATGGCACAATGGCACGCGTTTCTCTCTCCCACAAACGCGCAACAAAAAGGCAACGTTTTCTAGAAGACAGCTTTTTTCTGTCCGGGATCTGCTGCACCATGTCAGGGCACAACAGCCGACGTTGAATGAAAGGCTTCAAACCAAGTGATTTGTCAATAGGAAAAATATGCTTAATCCTTGTGGGGACAACGGCGGACTTCTGAAATGACCATTACGCAGTCCGTCATGGAGTATTGATTTTTCTTCATCCGTGACAATGCTCTGAGCACACAGGACTTTAACATATACAACATATGGTCATTTTTAATCTGTGACGCGTCGCCACAACAAAACGCCAAACTGGCTACAGCCGCAGCGATCGCCAGCTCCCTCATTCGGCAGAAGAGGCAGGCGAGGGAGCGGGAGAAAGCCAATGCCAACCGCTGCGCCAGCAGCCCCAATAAGAGCATAGGGAACTGCGAGAAGCCCAGCAGGCTCAACTTGTTCTCACGCGTCAAACTCTTCGGCTCAAAGAAACGCAAGAGAAGGCGGCCAGGTCTGATGTTATGTGTGTTCTTTTAAGCAGACTTTACTCAGATAGCCATGTCCATCAATCATCTTCATCATCCCCCATCCTCATCATCGTCACAGCTGACTGTGTTAAGAAATTGTGACTGCACTTTAACTCCTTCCATACGAAAGAGTCTGAACTGTATACTAAGATCCGCTGCGCTGAGTAACAAGGATTTCATAGTTCACTGCTTTTGAGCACTGGCTTCTCTTTGAGCTAGAGCTGATGTTGCAATATCACCAGGGCACACAGCTCATCACTTGTTCTACACTAGATATCATGCAGTCTATGCAGTCTGAATCAGAGACTGGGCTAAACAGATCTGTGGCACTCTTTGGGTTATGTTGACTTGAATTAGATGGATTTTCATGGCTAATATTGAGTATTTTGTTAGTATGAGCACTGGCTGGTCTTGAATATATTCAGTGTTTTGTTTACTACTTCTTATTCTGCAATAAATGTGCATCTTGTTTATGAATGAATTTCTGGTTGGTACACTCTTGGAAATAAAGGTTCCAAAAGGGTGTGTTCACAGTAATGCCATAGAAGAACCATTTTGGTCTCCCGAAGAACCTTGTGCACAGTTCTTAAAAGATCCCATTTTTCTTAGTGTAAAGTATTTTTTAGTAATGTAAAGAACCCTTTTTCCACTTTAAAGAACCTTTTGTGCAATGAAAAGTTTCTATGGATGTTAAATGATCTTCATGAACCATCAAAGTCAATAAAGAACCTTTATTTTTAAATTGTAGGTTGAGGCAGATGTGAACTTGGGATGTGAAAATTTAATAAAAAAAAAAATTATATATTATTTATTTTCAATGCTATATATTTTTTTTAATTATTAAAATATTTCCAAATATTTGCTGGTGTATTTATGCTCAGAGCTTTGAAAACACAATCACTTAAAAGTGAAAATAGCACAAAACCATATAAAAATTTGAAATATTATTAATAATATTAAAATAAATAATAGCAGAAAGTCCAAAATATTATTTAATATGACTGAACAAACTTGACTACCTTGCTTCACATCAATTAAAGTTATTCTAAGGGTCAGGTCAGGTAGAAATACCTCTTTAAGGAAACAACTGCAGGTGGATAAAATGAGAACTACTAGAAAACGGTTTGTGACTAAAGCCATTTATTATTTTACAGCATCATCAAATATCAATAGCACAGAATAGGCAAACAATGTGATTTGTTTTCTTGTTACTTTTTTTTTTTTTTTGCATTTTCTATTGTATACAATGAGGAAATATAGTTTTGCAACTCATAAATTCAGAGCTGTTAACCGGAATCAGGATATTACTGAAATGCATGTTATATAAGCCATAGTTATCTATCACCCCAACACTGAGGCATGCTTGGTAACTGCCTGGGTCCTGTTGGCACCAGCACACACTATGTTTTCACAATTCACATTTTATGGTTTTCCAACAGTCATTTCTTGGCTTTCACTAGCTGTGCCTTTGTGCTGGATGTTCTCTCCTTCCTCACCCCATATGATCTGCTATTGCACACCCTCCTAAATTGTGTTGTCTCAATTCCACAGAGCCTCAGCTCAAGGGGATAGTCACCAAGCTCTACAGTCGACAAGGCTTTCATCTACAACTCCAAGCTGATGGGACCATCGATGGTACAAAAGAGGAAGATAATAGCTATGGTCGGTTCACTACACGTAACATGTTTAAACACGACCATGCCAACACGCTTCTTTCCCATGGGTTCAATTCTGTTCTGTACTGTAACTTCACAGCTATTTTCAACCTCATCCCCGTTGGGCTGCGAGTGGTGGCTATACAGGGTGTCCAGACCAAACTCTACCTGGCCATGAATAATGAAGGCTACCTGTACACCTCTGTAAGTATGATAATCTCATCATACACTCTTAAAAATAAATGCTCCAAAAGGTGGTTTTCACAGCAATGCCATAGAAGAACCATTTTGGGTTTCCCAAAGAACCTTGCAGTGAACAATTCTTAAAAGAACCTTTTTTCTGAAGAATTTTAATAATCTACAAAACCTTTTTCCAATATAAAGAACCTTTTGTACAATGGAAAGATTCCATGGATGTTAAAAGTGCTTTGTGGAAACTTCAATGCCAATAAAGAACCTTTATTTTTTTTTAAAGTGTAGTTTTAAAAGTGCGAGTCCCTCCTACACATTGTGGGCTCTTTTGAGATCAGGGCAGTAGTAAACATCCCACATTTCGTCTCTGCTGCTCTCATTGTAGTTAAATCTATGTCTTAGACTGCATCATGGATGCCGGAGGATCCGAGCTGTTAACTTAAAGTTGCAGGTTGGATTCCAGACAGCAGGCGATCGATGAACTGAAGAGTTAATGAGATCCAACTCCTGCCCAAACACCATCTGCCTCTCTTATTTATCGCAGCATTGTATCGTGATCATATTCAAAGACGAGATAATGGCATATTTAGACATGCTTGTTAGCACCTCGCATTCACACAAAGATAATTCACACTTCATATAATTGCTTTGTATTTGAACTATCTATAGAACGCTCCTGGGAGATAGTGCATCATCATACCCAAGGTTTTCCGCCCAATATCTACTCTGCAGTTTTTAAATATGGAGAAATCACAATAACGCTCTAATGGATATTCTGTTTTGCGAGTGCCTCCCTCACCTCTTTCCTTTGATTAAATGTGCTGTGGCGAGATGAATAATTTAGTGCTGTGCCAATAAGTGCTTCTGTCAATTCAAAATGGACATTTTGAGGAACATTGCTGCCATTAGAACGCTAAAGATTTGCAGTGGCTTTTGAAAGTCTTGGCCAGATCTGTGCTTTCATAATGCAGAAACAGTTTACACTGTACCTTTGTATTTCAACTGTGTGGGGGTTCGCATCTGACCGCCTGCCCACAGAAATGGACTCTTTTCACAGACTGTGATGACGTGTTTCCACAGTTATTTACATTGTAAATCTAGCAAAGCTTTTTTATATTTTAATTTAAAAAGGTAATGTACATTTATAACTCTATACTTGGGTTATATTACCTTGGTATGAAATACAAGAAAACTAGTTAATGCTGCTTTGTGGGTGTTTTTAACAACAGCTGAGGAAATGACTGCAAATTTGACATATTTCTCTTTTCTGATATAATAAATCTCTCAATATTCTTTCCTCTTTTGGAAAGTTACAAACGCTATTGTGGATTTTTTTCAAATGGGAACGCAAAAAATTTATTATTTGTTCTTTCTTTCTAGTTTGGAAAAACAAGTTTAGAACAATTTTCACTCAGATATTGCTAGTAATTTTCACAAATAATTACAAAGAAATGCCAAGTAACACATTAAATTACACTTGAATTTTGTATTAGAACAACTGACATAGTATTAGTTTGTAAATCTTACTCCAATAATCATTAATTACACTTCAAAAAATAATTTTTAGTGTATGACGACTTTCGACAACGGAAATGTGAAAAGGGTCCATACTCAAACTCGCACCCATGGTCGTGCTGGTATACACGGATCTCCTTGTTGATTTTGAGAGGTTGTTTTCCTCAGAATTAATGTATTGATCCGCAGGAAGGAGTCAAAGTGTTTCAGGCCTCAAGAGTTTAATGGTAATCAATCTGCACCACAAACTAGAGCGAAAGCACACGGGATGACGTGCTACCACTACGTTTAGACCACTTATTACGGTTCCAATCAGAGGAATTTACCTTGACAAAATCATGATGAGGTGATGTGTGATATCGATGAGGCTGGTCTGGACCTTCAACTCAAATTTATCTGCTCTCGCTTTGTTTATCTCCCTACGAGCTCACACACACATTCTTTTTTCTCTCTCTTATGCAAATACCCCTCCACAAACATGTACGAATATTGCTCTTCCCCTCATTCTCTCTGTCTCTTATGTCTCTGTTGTCTTCTCTGCCCATTTGACTCTCACAGGAGCACTTCACGCCAGAGTGCAAATTCAAAGAGTCAGTGTTTGAGAACTATTACGTGACCTACTCGTCAATGATCTATCGGCAGCAGCAGTCGGGCCGAGGCTGGTACCTGGGACTCAACAAAGAGGGTCAAATCATGAAGGGCAATCATGTAAAGAAGACCAAGCCGGCTGCACACTTCATCCCCAAACCTCTTAAAGGTTGGTTCAAGTGTCTTCTGCACCGAATGATAGATTTTATTTTTGAACGTTTTATTTTTCATTCATTAAGGCAAAATACAATAGAATGTTAATATCAAAATAATTTTCTGCATTAACCAGAGAACCCCTAATGCTCAAAATATCGCTCTCCCATTGAAGAGAAAACAGACCTTAAAAGAAGATGTATCCACCTTATTTTTCAATGCGGAAGTAAGCTGTTTTTGGTGCATTAGCCGTGGTAGGGAAATAACGAGGAGGATAACAAAGTGCGCTAAACGGTAAAATTGTTTGTGCTACAACATAGTGTGTTTATAATTAAGACAATACATTAAAATAATATGGTAAGAAACACAAGTTTGCAATATCAAGCAGCAAAACGAGCTGTTTTATACAACTAAAAATAGCTGGAAGTGGATGACACCGGAAGCCAGACACATTAAATTTACAAATGACCGTACCCACTCTTACGGGCAAAATAAGGTGGATAGGCACTTGTAGAAATATGCAGTTTTTTCCCTCCTTGAATTAAATGGGTGCCTTTCTTTTTTGGAACTAGCTGAATCAGTGGGGAAATCAAAAACTGCAGCTGCTTGTGTGCAGTCATAAGTGAAGCTACTGTAAGATGCCTAGACATTAGTCTGCTTTAAATGAGCATGGAAGCTCCATGCAATTAGATTTTAAATCAAGTTATAGTGTGTTCATGCAGCACTAAATTATTTTTATTGCAAGCAGGTGTTTTTGTGCTGCATAGGGTACTTGGAACTGGTTCAAATGATTTTCAGGATGTTCATTTGCGACGCACTGGAAGTTATTAATTTCCATTTGAGCTGAGTAGATTTTTTTTAACATAGTTGAGAATCATCTTTATATAATTTGGTCTAAAAAAATTGATTTGTGATTAAAATAAAAATCCCACTGTTTTTGCCTTTTCATGTCTATTCATGTCTTTTAATTTTTTTAAAAACAAGACTTTTTAAAGTCCTGGTGTCCTCTACAGAGGATGTAGCATAACATATGAATAAAATATCATTTTTCAAAAATTTTATTTTTACATTTTTTTTCTTATGCTCTAAACAATGTAATGACATGAAAAAAAAATTCTAAATTCACAAAACGTTTTTTTCCCCTGGTAGTGAGGATGATATGAGAATGCTGAGATTTTTGTGTCTGTTTTGAACCCTGGTTGCGTTGAAATATTTGAACTTTTGGCTAAAAGAAATAAAAAAATATTTGGCTAGCCCTTATGCGACACCTTCTCTAAAACGAGCGTTTATGAATAATTTAGCCAGAAATAATTATTTTATTATCATTAAAGAATTTCTGCAGAATAGCCCTTGAAAACCAACTATATTTTTCGTTCAAAAATAATAAGGGTCATTTGTTTTGTGTGGATATATTCATACATTAATTATTCAATCACTTTACCATGGTGAATAAGTGGAGAATCATATTTTCTCTAGACGAGGTCATAAGAACCGGTGTTCTGTCGAGTTGTGCTACCCTGTCAGATTTTGCTACCTCCCATTAACCCTTGTGTTGTGTTCGGAACCCTATCACACTTACGAGTTTACGGAGCAAAAAGGACTCAGTGGATATTCTCTAAAATGGCACCAGGGTGACGTGGAGCAGACAAATTGTTGAATAAAGTCGTTATTTGTTTTCTTTGCGTACAAAATGTATTGTCGTAGCTTCGTAATATTGCGGTTGAATCCCTGATGTCACATGGATTATTTTACCGATCATTTTTCAGAGCAAAAAGGACCCGAACACCACATGAGGGTTAAAACAGTAGGTGGTACAATTCGACAACGAAAAATGCTACCTGTCATTTATGGTCTATTAACGTCTACACCTACCCCAACCCTAAACCTACACTTACAGTAATGTAAATACAGTACTTATGTGTTGTTCAGGGATGTGGCTAGAAGGGATACAGCTACGGCCAGAAACCAACAATAAATGTGTTTCATTAACGTCCACACCTACCCCAACCCTAAACCTATCCCTTACATTAATGCAAATACAGTAATTATCATTGTTCAGCATGAGAAAAATTACGCAATATTGATGTGCGCATGCGCAGTAAGCCCTGGTAGGACAATCTGACGGGTAGGATAAAATGTATATCTATATCTATATTTAAATCAATTAAATATGTTCATACCTTTATTAGCATTTAAAGCAACATTTGGCAACAGAATGGCATTTCTGTTTTCCAAATATTTCTTCCTCAGGTACAAGGAAATGCAACCCTTAAGGAACCGTAATCATTAAATTCCTTGTGATTCCCATCCCTAGCGCTGTGTAGACACTAATAGAAGTTATCAATGTACTAATAAGGAGACAAGCTTGCTACGACCTGAACATGAGACTCATGAGACCTGTTACTTGTGTCTCCTTCATATAGTTGCCATGTACAGAGAGCCGTCGCTGCACGACCTGACCGAGTTCTCCCGCTCCGGAAGTGGCACTCCAACCAAGAGCCGCAGCGCCTCGGCCATGCTCAACGGTGGCAAGATTCTGAGCCAGAATGAGTCAACATAACCGCAGGGCACAACTGCAGTCTGCTGCTGTACAGCTGCTGGACTCTACCATCAACTAAACAGCACAAACGCGTTTACAAGAGTGCAGTGAAACCTTTAGCTGGTCGCTAGCTAGTGTTTCCTGAAATCACTGTGATGAGAACACAAGTGCAAACCTACATTGTACAATCTTCTGCAGGTCAACCTCGTGAGACAAACAAACCAAGCCATCTTTCTGATGTAGGGGTTTGCGTCCTTTTGCGGGGCGATCCCCGTTTCCATGTGTAGCATACAGAGCTGTGGTTCCTGTGGCATTGTCACAGAATCTTCTAGAACACCTACTTTTGTGTTTTGCTCCATTTCTTCTTAGGGATGCCAACTCCATAGTGCTAAGTCAACTACAACATGACAATAGCAGCTTGTGCGACCCATCTATCGGTATATAGAGATGGTATAACGGTTCTGGGACATATGATAAAAGTATTTCAGCTCAGCTTTTTTGAGGCAGCGGTTCATTGTTGTGTGCTTTTTAGATGAGGCGTTTTGCTCCTCGCTTCTCTTTTTCTGTCTTTTCAGCTTCCCCCCACACATTGTTATTCTGCAAATTAAACAGATTTAGGGTTCGGTCTGTCTGCACACCAAAGATGTCATTAGCCTCTTTGTATGGAGGTAAGTCAATTTGTGTAATTTCAGCTCCCTCAGACAGATGGTTGAGAAAACCGCAAGAGTGAATGTCATTTAGTCAGAGGAAATGTATTCAGGATAGAAGAAGGCTACTCACTGTGGGTCCCTGCTTTTTGTCTGTTTATGTCTTCCTTTATGTCCCCTCTACTTTGGGAACCCAGAATCTTGGAGAAGTGTCAAATCAAAAAATGTTTAAATTATTGATTAATGCCAACCCGTTACGTAAAAACAGGGCAGGCCTTTTCCCCCCTCTTTTTTGTAAACAAAAATATAATGAAAACCAAGCAAGAGAAAGCTTCCATTGCTTTTACAGGGCTAAATCAACATTAGTAAATAATTTGTGTGAAAATTCATTCTTATGATTCTACTTTATAGTCCTCAGTGGTCAGGCAGCAGCCCGTTTATAATTTTGATCAAAATCTTCTTCTGTTGTATGATTGTATGTATGAAGCATATTTAATGCATGGGGGACAATGGACGCTGCATGTTATGTGGCTATGTATATTACCTACAATATGGAACCATGTGCTCAAATGGATACTGGAGTAAAATACAAATGTGTATATATATATGCATTTTATCCTGCTGCCTGCCTGTTTATTATTTGTTGTAAATTTAAGAAGCTGCACTGAATAAAATGTTTTGTATGGTCAGAGCACTCATGATGTTTGATTATGCGGTGTTAAGTGACTTTTGCTTTCAATGCACTTGATAACTCTTCATCAAAACAAGAGTCATTGTATATTGTATGTGACGGCGCTGCTTTAAAATACAAAAATTTAAATTTTACAAATACAAATCTTTAAAAAAAACCTCATATTCTTACGGTTATAAAATACAAATGTAAAAACATGAATTAAATGTGTAATATTAAATATAAAATACTATTTAATTAATAAATGTAATATAAAATATATACATTTTATGGAATTATAATGTTGTATAATTATGTACAATAAATTATGTACAAAGGATCTTGGCATAGTTGTGTTTATGTATGTAATATTTAAAGACAAAATAGGTCTCTCCTTTATGTCAGATAGACTCCAAAACTCTTACACTCTTAAAAATAAAGGTGCTTTAAAAGGTTCTTCACAGCGATGCCATAGAAGTACCATTTTTGGTTCCACAAAGAACCATTCAGTCAAAGGTTCTTTAAAGACCCGTCTCTTTCTTTCCTTTTTATAATCTGAATAACTTTTTTTCGCCACAAAGAACCTTTTGTGAAACAGAAAGGTTCTTCAGATGTTAAAGGTTCTTTATGGAACCATGTAGACAAAAAGGTTCTTCTATGGTATCGTGAAGCACTTTTATTTTTAAGAGTGTATATAAAATAAAATATCTCAAATAAAATGTATTTTATATGAAAAATATATTATTTATTTTTACATTATATTACATTTACCCATACTTATACCCATTTGACCAATGTATTCCATTACAGACTTAAATAATGTTAAAATAATCAAAGGTGACCTTAGTTTTAAGGATATCTTACAATAAATGCAATTATTACATATACCTTTCTGAAAATGTTATTCTGACCGTCTGTCATCAAGGCTGGCTGACTGTATTATTGCTTGCATTTTTAATAACCTAGTTCATTAACAGTAGTTTGACATATACTGGGCTGAAGTTATTAGTAATACTGACTGACAGATATAATGACAACAGTAGCAAATAACTTTACATAAAAAGGCGTTTTTAATTAAATGAGGAATTTGCTGTTCTGTAGCAGTTTGTCAGTGAAACTCCTTAAATATGCAGACTCTGTGACATTCAGAACCTCTTAGGAACGTACTCAATGTTCATTTTGGCACTGCAGTGCATAAACAGTGGTGAATTCATCTGAATTTAAACCATAACTCGTGAATAAACATCAGGTCAGCGAGCACAGTTTGATTTTTAAGTAGATAGTTCTACCTGTTTTTTATTCATGAATTCATATTGATGAAGACACCGTGAATGAAGAAATTGATTTTGTTGTGCTTTGCTTCACTGGAGTCACAAGGATGAAACCTTGATCATGTCTAATGCATAACCTATGGGAAGGCCATTGGAAAACCATCTGCTGTTGTTTAATGTACTGTAAATGGGCATGATATAGGCCTCATCCAGTTCAACTCTATTTAACTCAAATATGATCAAACCATTAAATAATGTATATAGGGACATTTTAATGTAAAGGCACTGAAGAAAATAAGGCAAGATGGCCTTGCTTGATTGTGTTTTCAAGATGTTTAAAATGCAATCAATCATTTGAGACAGTCCAATATTGTAAAGCAGCAGAAGAAAATGAAATTACACAAAATAGCTTCAACTTTAATTATTTTTGGCTGAACCCTGGGTTACCATCATTCTAAAACCCACATTTAACCCCATGTAAAGGTGCATTTCACACTTGTAATTTAATAGGGAGTTAGCTCTTGGATTCGGAGCAGGATTAGAACTACTTTTGCACCAAGTTTTTTTTAACTTGTACAGCGTGAAACGATGTGGTGTTAGAATGTTGCTACTAGATGATTAGAAACAGACGCCCAATCGCACGCTTATATTGACATGTATTGGTCAGTTATGGAAACACAGCGAGTTGTACAGACGTTTCAACGTTTGAGGGGAAAAAATGTC